CACATTTCTTTTTCTAAGGAAAGTATTTATGTTTTGTCATTTTCATCCTATCAGATGTCTGACTATCAAACCAATACCAAACTAAATGCAATTATGACAAATACTTCTGGGTCTTAAAGTACATTTCCAGATTTGTTTTTAAGCGAATCACTGTAATAATAGTTATTTTAGTAACATTAATGATAGTCATGCTAAATTATATCCATAAAATGAGGTAAAAGAAACTTATGTCTGGTTTGGTGTGATAATAAAGTGATTAGATTTTATTTTATTTGTGTTGATGAAGAGTTGCTCGAGTTTTACTAATGGGGCAGAATAGTTTGGAAACCGCTGGTCTAGAATAGATGATATGAAATATCATGAAATCATGAAGTGTAAAGCCACAACCTTTATTAGGAGTTAAGTAAAGTACAGGGCTGGGCTGTTATATAACAGCACTGAGACAGCAATTGGACTACAAAGGTTATAATGAACATGACATGATTTGAACAGGCTGTCACTGTTCTTAACACTTCTTCTGCCCACTTTGATGTTTTGTCAAACCACTGCAGAGATAAAACTGGACTAACGGTTAAAACACACAACAAACACTAATAGTTTATCTGAGAGTGTTTTAAAATGGACTCTCTCTCTGCACTGTGAAGCTGTGGTTGAGGAGCCACAGCTGCAGACACAGATGGGCTTTCACTGGAATTTCACCGTAGTTTGTAAACAGAGGTTGACTGATGTCATTTCCACCCGTTTGGAAAATGTGCTGTCATTGTCCGGACACATCAGCCAAACACTCCCGCCCATGCATTCATCCGAGTCTGCTTTAATCTCTCTCTCTCTCCCTGTCTGTTCCATTATTCATCTTTCAGGACAAAATTAAAGAGTTCGGTGACAAACATCCAACACAAAAGTAAGAACCTGCACTACCTCTCCATGCTGTACTAGATCTGTATACACTGTTCAAACATTGTTGCTCAGTGACAGGCCTGTAAACAACAAATTCCTCTCACCTTACCCAGCACTGAACTAGTGTTTTGCCATTCTTTAAATAATCCTTTACTGTGAAATGCCTGTGCATGCCTAGAATATATACTTTCTATTTAAAGAAATTATATAATTATATAAATTCATAGAATTAAATTGTAAATTGTATTATATATTATATATTTCATTTGTTTTCATTTCATTTATTTAATTTAATAAAAAAATTATATATATATATGTAAAGTAGTATGAAAGCAATCATTTAAACTAATGTATGTATAAATAAATGTGTGAATTTTGTGCCCTATGCTGAGGTTTAATGTTTTTTTGATGTGTGTTCAGCTCAGCAGAGGCCGATGTTGAACTTCCTCCACCAAGCATGCAGAAGCTCTCCTCTGACCTTCGACCTCTCATGTTCTGGATGTCCAATGCCACGGAGCTCCTCAACTTCTTTCAGGTCAAAGTTGAAGCCATGGAAAAAGAATGGGAATTTGAAGGTTAGTGAGAGATCGGCAATTACAGCATGTTTTCTCAAAACAAAAAATACTTGTGTTGTTGCATAACGTGCCGTATCTTCTGCTGTAGACGTGTTATGTCTTTTGTTAGACTAAATCAGTTTTCTCTCATCTCTTATTATGCCATCTTGTTTATTTTAGTATACCTGCTAGTCTAAGCAAAAATTTTGCACTGTGAAATAAGCCTCAACTTTGAATAGAATTACAATATTCAACCTATACTAACTCATGGCTCATACAACTCAAATACAAGCAGTTCATGAAATAAACATAGTCAAAATCTTTGTCAAATGTCAAAATGTACTTGTCACATGATATTATATTGTACATGTTAATAACTACCAGGTCACTTGGGATGGTTTATGTTGTGTCTCTTTATGGTTTGTCACATCATAACCTGTAGCCCCGGGTGACCCCGTTCTCTCAGCTGATATGGACACCTGTTCTGAGGCGCTGGCACAGCTGGATGATGTCATTATGCACACCTTTCAGCAGTGTGTTTACCATCTGACCAAGGTGAGAGTGCATCAGTGTGCATTAGGGGTACTTGAATGGCACATGTATGCTTAAAGCATTTCATTTATTTCAAACTCATTTTCCTCTCTCGATCAGACGTTATACTCCTTGCTCCCAGCACTGTTAGACACTAACCCGTTCTCCAGTGAGGAGAAGAAGAAAGGAAAAGCGGGAGCAAAGGACAGAGCTGGTAATGAAGGGCAAGGAGATGAGGAAGAAGACGTCTCCACTTTGCCGCCCACCGTCGCTGGACTGGTGGAAGTGTATCGCTGCTCTCTGCAGCTCTCCCGAGAAGCTTGCCTCTCTCCACCGCTAACCTCCCAAACATTTGGCTACCTCTTCTTCTTCACAAACACGTCTCTTCTCAACACACTCTTGGAGAGAGGTGAGAATTTACAGTCTTTCATAAACACAGTTGGGTTTGCGCATGGTTTCGGGCAGCGATGACAGCAGGATATGATGGCAATGAGTTTATGGCTGGACGACCAGCACAAATGCAAGTCTGAGGTTTAAAATGATTTGTTTCTTCAATCTTTTAAAGATAGTCTATTCTCTTGGTCACGTGCGGTTCAAATTCGAACAAATCTGGACCTGGTCTTAGACTGGCTACAAGGAGCAGGCCTTGGAGATATTGCGTCAGAGTTTCTAAAGAAGCTATCAGTTACGGTCAACTTCCTGTGCATACCTAAGACCCGCCTTATTCAGGTGAGAGTTTGAGAACAAACTGACCCCATGCACTGAATATGTAAAGAACGCAATGCTTTTCACGTCTATAATTTATCACTCTGTGTTTTTTTTTTCAGTCATCCTGGTCAAGTTTACAGGAAGAACATCCCTTGCTAAGTCCTTCCCAGCTTCACCATCTTCTCACTCATTATAAGCTTGGACCAACGAGAGCCCCACCATCTTCATGGGCTCCGCTTCTCGGTATCGAACTCGGAGGTGGTGAGTAACAACCTAAATAAATCAACATATTCTTATATAATATTGATAATATGCCTGTCAAACTATTTTATACCTACTTATATAATATACACTACTGTTTAGAAGTTTTGGAGCCAGTAAGTTTAATCTTTTTATTATTTAAAGAATCTACAAAAATTTTAGGCCTAAGCAGCACAACTGTTTTCAACATTGATAATAATAAGAAATTTTTATTGAGCAGCAAATCAGCATATTAGAATAATTTCCAAAGGATAATGTGACACTGAAGACTGGAGTAATGATGCTGAAAATTCAGCTTCACCGTCACACGAACAAATTACATTTTAAAATATATTAAAATAGAAAATTAAATTGTAATCAAATATATTTATGGTATTTTTAATCAAATATATACAGCCATAGTGAGCATAAAATACTTTTTTCAAAAACATTACACAAATCGTACAGACCCTAAAACTGTAGTGTATATCACATTTAATGTATTATTTTTATATTATACGTAATTTTTTTTTTGTCTTTAATATTATTCACATATTCTAAGATATTTTTGAGAGTTTTTTGGACCATCCTCCTCTTATCCTGCCTAATGAGACACCTCGGCTGGACCTGAATCAGCCAATCCCAAGCCCCGAGCTAATGAAGGAAGTGACACGCCTGCGAACATTCCTGTGGGGGCTCGACCAGGATGAACTTCCTGCTAATCAGCGGACTAGATTGTAACATTAATTCATAACATTAATTCATTCCAGTTGTCAAATTATGAACATTATCCAGTTCTCACATAGAGAAACTACCAGTCTTTAGACACTAGTAGATATTCATATCAGATGATATTCCTTCTTTTGTGTTTTTTTTTTTTGTTTGCCTGTCAAGCACATCTGTTGGATTTTAATGCACTGACTTCATTATGACTATGTATAATTCATTGCATTAGTTACTTTAAAGGTTTATGTTAGATGAGATAAATTGCCTGGTTGCAATGATAAATGCCAGCCTGTTATTTTACACAGTATTCAAATGTTCTGTAGGTTTTTTCCACTGTTAATCTTAGTAAATAAGTTATGATCAGATACATCAGTTGCATTGATAATTTTTTTTTACCACATTCTGTAATAAATAAAACTTACATTTAACCTACTGGCATGTTTTTTTATTGATAGATTCTCATACATTTTGTGAGAGGCTGTTGGGAAAAGTAGTGGCCACCTGCTGTTCTATTAATCAACACTGGGTGGCATGATCGCAATGGACTCAACGATTAGTTAGAGCAAAACTCCACTGGTCACCAGTAAAAATTCATATCACTTATCATGACTAACATTAATAATGAGGATCAGTATCCTGAAAATGTTATATATATATAGATATAGATATATATTGTTAATATAAGTTGTGTTCTAGAAGTAAAAAAATAATAAAAATACTTGTTTAATATATTACTTGTTAATACTTATTGAATAACTTATATTTATCAACTGTTCATAGTGGAAATACTGACACTTGCAGGTGCCCTTATGAACATTTACCGGCGCAACCACATGACTAGTTGACGCCTAAATACCACAGTTACTATAGTTATTGTTACTACTGAAAACCATAATAAATACATATGGGATTTATTTATCTTCTTTTAAAATTCTTTATTTGATGACGGTTCAACTATATACCAAAGTTAACACTATTTTATTGCAGTAATAACTCTATGGTGTTTGGCGTAACCTATGGTTACAATGGTAAATATTTGTAAAGGTAATATAGCATTTAGATAGGCCTACTAGCTCGACGCCTGGGTAAACATAGGCTAATTAAGGGTAATCCAGTGTGTCATACTGTTCATACAGTTCATGTTTACCATGAGCTAGTTGCCTAATTAATTCAGGGTAGAAAAATTCTACGTTTACACCCAGGATTAATGTTCTCATTTACATATTAATGAGGTCGACAACAGTGATTGGACGAATACAACTCATGACGGATGCTTCACCTGTCTGATCATCTCTGAAAAGGTAAATCTGTTCTGGTTGAGTTAAGTTTCAAACAATTAAAAAAGCAAACACACAATACGTTCTCTTTACCCCAGTTAACGGATGTAACAGTTTCCTAAAATATGGAGACTAAACACAGTGCGAGAAAGTTTCTTTGATTGAACAAATCATATGAATATTTAATGAGGTAAGCAATGACGCGGTTTATAGTCAGTTGTCTGTCCATTCTGTGCACGCACAGACGTGAAAGTCATATGTTGGAATTTAAGAACGCAAGAGGTCTAAAAACGTTATGTATGTTTGTTTGAACTTCTTTTAACATTTTGGAACGTCGCGTCAAGCGCAAGGGCGCTGCAAATGACGCGCAACGGTCAAACACGTCAGTAAGGCGTAACGTTATGTTTATATCGAAAAACTGCATTGTTCTACTCCGCTAAAGGGCTGCTAATTAATGTCATAACCCAGGGTTGAAAGTGGTGCTAAACCCCTTTACAAGTGTGAAACGTTGCCTAACCCAGGGTTAAGTGTTGTTTGAACTTGAAGTGTATATTTACTGTAGATAGAACTATGTTGTGACGGAGGGAGCACATTTCACAGGCTACTGTCGAGTTTCTTATTCCTGATAAAACAACCTTCTCACTCGCAGTGACGTTCGACAATAAACACTTACTGTTCTTGACCTAAACGAAGCGTGGAATGGAAGTGGCGTCAAGCCCATCCTTGCTTCATTTGTTTAGATTTTCATGTTTTTGAGGATATGAAAAAAAAATTCCCAAGAAGTTCACTGACGTCATAACAAGCCTTTAATCCACATTTATTGTAAAAGCGTGTTGTCTTTTCCGCGTTGTATCTTGACAGCGTGCCAGATCTCCTTCCCTTCCTGTCAATTGTTTCATTATGCCGTTTTTACGGTAAGAATGGGATCCCGTGAGATCCGTTTACATCACTCCGATTTTTAATTCGTCCAGCCAGCGGCAGCAGCCCTCGTTTGTCCTAAACCCCCATCATCCGCGCCATGTCATCGTCTCAAATCGGTGGCAGATTTGTGTGAGTCATGATTCAGCCTCCCTGTGGTGGAAATTTAATCAATTAAGTTAGCTACTATACGACTTCTGATTTGCAAATCTGTGTGGTTTATGAGCGAGACTGTCTAGGGGCTGTTTTGAACTATCCATTCATCATGGAATAATTGATGATTATTATTTGGATTAAAGCAGTAAAGATGTTTTTCAGGCATACTGGTCATACAGCTATGGGTCAGTGATGCCGGTGTTGATGTGAACAGTCAGCCTCCCCATCCTCTTTCTGTGTCACTGTCTGCCCTCTCCTTAAAAGTGTGTCTGCATTGCTCATGGACTCAACACACACACACACACGCGCACACTGACATACACCCATTCCTCCAGGTGCAGATCCCCGCACCTGTTGAAGTTCCTCTCTGTAATTAGGACAACACAATTATTTTTTCGAAGGCAAAGGGGGAAGGAGGGGTGACTGGGTAGACAATGGAGCACTTATTCTTGCTGCTTGCTTTCTTTCTTTCTACATCTCTCAAGTAATGATAGATTCTTGCCTCTTCAAAGCAACACAGGTTTCCTACAAAACCGCTGAGTCAGGAAAGAGAAAAAGGGAGGGTCTCTGTATGTGTCGGGATGTGTGTGTTCACTCTTGTGGACTAACTGTGTCTCTGAGCGTGAACGGCAGAGCTGTATAATTGTTTATATGCTTGTTCACATTTTCAGACACAAGCATGTGTGTACACTCCGACAGTCTTAATCTGCTTTCTCAATGAGTCCCCATTCTGAAGCAACATGGGGCTTTCCAGACTGTGAACCAAATCACCTGAACCTTCAGGCCACCAGCTGCTCCTTAACTTCTGAGTGTAATATCTTATCTCTTGTTCAAGGATAACAAAACTTAAGATTGATATACTCTAAACAGAATATACAAAACAGAACTGAAACAAAAATACCATGAGGTTTAAAATTCTCATTCAGAAATCAATCACAGAAATTCAGAATTATCTATCTATCTAATTGGAATTCTACATCCTGTTTCTATTTCAATTTAAATTCAAATTCAGTAACTGAAGTGGAGTTTTAAAGGCATTTTTAATTCCAGTTCTGAATGGCGCAGAAGAACCCTTGTGTCCTGATAGTTGTAGATGACAGTTTTGCCTACATACAAGAAGTAAATACCAATATGTAAAAATATTTTATTTATGAAAGTTTTATTAATTTTGTGGCATGGCTTGATATATTGATGCACCTTGTTTTAAAGTTTTGTCATCTCAGTTTGATTCCCGAATAACTTTTGAAAGTAAGTTGTCAGAGCAGATTTTAAAAACCTAATAACCATTTCAGTTTTTAAAATCTTTAATATCCAGTCTGATGCATTTTTCAGGAATTTAAGAGTTTATATCTAACATTATTATTTATTAGTTTTAGTTAAAAATGTGCTGCACACTTAGTTCCAGACATCTATTTACAAAATTTGACTTTAATTACAAATTCTCTTCATTATGTTAACAGCTAAAGATGGCGAATAGTATAAATGGAGACGTGTGTGCGCAGTAGATGTGTCTGCAGCCAGTGCGGTCAATGAGGTTGAGCTGCCCTGAGTTTCCTACTCTACTCTGACAAAGTCAGTGTGTGTTTGTGTGTGTGTGAGAGAGAGAGAGAAAATCTATCCTTGCATATTTGTATGTGTATTTCTATCTGTGAGTGAAGAGGGCGTGAACACGTGTCAGTATTCATTTACATTCTTACAGAAGCGAATCCTTGATGTGTAATAGAGAAATATGAAATGGACTGTGTGTGTGTTCATAGTCAGTGTGTGTGCACGTATGGGAAAGAGAGACTGTGTGTAGGTTTGGGGTTAGACACGGGATGAGTGAAACACCCAAGCTCTCTTCTGGGACTGATTCACTTTCTCCTGCTGCCAGGCGGATTACGTCATCGCTGCCCACCGTAATAGAAGAGCCCTGTGATGCCATACCAAGAGGTTATCCACCGGTGACGCTCTCGTTGGATGTCTAAACATCACTCGCTCAGATGTCCCTTTACCTCTCATCTAGCTTCTCTCACTCCACCCTAACCTTTGCTCTGCATTTCTCTCCCCACCTTTCCTTGCCCCTCCCTCTGTTTTATATTTGCTCTCTTTCAGGTTTGCCTTCCCTGGAAGTCTCCGCTCTGGTCTCGGGTTTAGGGGTCTCGTCCAAAACGCACACCACACCGCGACTCCCTGCTCAACCCCTTTGGCCATCCCAGCTCATTTGTCCTCCGTGCTCCTCTTATCCCCTCGTCTCTCCTCCGCTCTGGGTCTGGGCAGCGGCAGAGGGGTCAGCTGTGCTGCGGGTTGGGGCTGTGTTCCGACAGATCTGCTTTTTCTGTCGTGCTTTTGTTCCGTTCTGCGTCATCGTGTTGACTGAGTGGACCCCACACTTACCAGGCAGTTGTGTGCGAGGCCTCGGCCTAACACTGAGCCATGTTAGGGGCTATAATCTGATGGCGGTGTTTATTTTATGTAGGCTCTCTTTGAAGGCGCTGAGAAAGTCTTTGGCCTTTTTGTCCAGTGCTTTGGCTGCCCGCGCAGAGGTGCTTGCAGTGGTAATAGTCAGGAAGAATAATATTTGCATTCGTATTCACTCAAAACATGTTTTTTTCCATATTAGTGTCAGAGAGGGGAGAAAAGGGACCGAAGGGGAGCTCTCACTCTTTCTTTCTCTCTCTCTCTCTTACTCTCTTACAGAGAGTGTGGGGATCTCTGGGCCCTGGTTGTGGTGGCAAGCCAGCGTCTACTCCATCAACCCTTATTACGCCTCCACAATCCCATAATAGGTACTTAACCTCTTCACTGTGTTTGAAGCTAATGGCATCACTCACTGTCTGAGAACAGGCGCTGGGCCACTCTCACTTTCTGCTTCTCTCTTACTCTCTCTGTTTTCAATTCATTTCAGTGAGCTTTAGTGGCATGACCAATCCAAAGCAAGCATGATGATGGCAGATGCTGTTTGCGTCCAAGTCGCAAACTCAATTTTTGTAGAAAATAGAAATGGAGCTAAAACAATTTGCGAATTGAACAGTGTTTTCATCCCATGGGAAAGTGGTGCAAAATAAAAATGGATGTTGTAGCCACTGGTAAAGCCACTATTAAATGAATTACTATTAAGTTTATTACTAATTAGGTGCATATGCCTGTGAGCAACATCATATTATATATATAGACATTTCTGGGAGGTTATATAAGCAATCATTTTGATGACAGGCATTGGCACCGGCATTTCAAACCCTGAGATATTAAGACTTGTTTATTAGAGAATATATCTGCTACCTTCAAAAGTTTGGGGTCAGTAAGATTTTAGGATGCATTAAATTGATCAAAAACGTCAGTAAACGCATTAAACACGATTATAAGGATTTCTATTAATGAAAATTAATGTTTCTGCTGATATACAGAGAAAAATTCTACTTGATTCAAGAATTTAGTCCTAATATCTGAAGCAGTTTTGCTTTCAAAGTAAATGTATTTTGTTTTTAAGGATGTTTAGGTATTTGTACTGACAAACAAGTTAAATTATTGATTAGTAAAATTACATTTTAATACATTTTAATGTATTGAGTATGTATGAGGCAAAGTTGGCAGTACTCACGATGGTGGAGGAAACAATCTGTCTTTATTACTGTCATAACATTTCACACTGCTTTTCTTCCATTGTCTACTTGAAATCATAATGGTCCTGTAAACAGTAAAGCAGGTGTGCTGTATATACTGTAATTAGTAAGTAAAGCTTGGGTACTTGTGTGTTTTATAGCATTGTTTTATATATGAAAAATCTCTTCAATAGGACTCTTTGTGAATGGCAGCATGCAGTAGGGTGTGTGTGTCAGCATTTCTGTGTGTGATCTTGGAAAGCCCTCTGACATCACCTGTTAAACTCCAGTGATGCGTTCTCATTCAAGTAAATTACAGCGTGCCATTTGTAGATCATTCAGTGGGCGGAGCTTGACACTGAGCCAAATGACAGCTTTCTCTCCACATCAGTGGCTGCTAGGGTAAAGAAAACATTAGGGTTCCTTCATTCTTGCTTTCATCCTTTAAGTCTTAACAGGAGATGACATAGTTGTTTCTTCCTCCCATTCTGTTCAACAATATTACATTATCTAAAGAGGGTATGGCCATTTATGTCTCTTTTTCTCTCTTACTCACTACTTCTTGCATTTATCCAGATGACCGCAGTCATACGGCAGCTTTAGCTAGCTGCTGTTCCGAATCAGTCTCTGTCTTTTCCCAAACTCCTCCCAGAACTGATCTATACACATTCGGCCCAAATATAGAGAGACTCATGTCTCTTTTGTCAAGGCTGTGTGTGTTCTGGGTGGGAGGCATATGGCATGTGCTTGCTTAAGGCCCGGCGCAGTTCAAATGATGATGTAACGCCAGGAAACAGGGGGAAATCAACCCCGGCGGTCCTGTAATCCAATCCCTCTTCTTTTTTTCTTTTTTTGCTTTCATTCTTGCCCATATTGTGTAAGTTTATCAAAACACTCTCTTTTTTTTGGTTCAGATCTATTAATTGATTCAAAAATACCTTAAATCATACAAACAATGTTTCGATATGTTTAGGGGCATTAAGTCATAAAAATCTTGATGTCATAATGTTTCACTCATTAAAAGCATTAAATTCTTGAAAAGAATCTTTTATTATTATTTCAGGTTTGTTAAAATAGTGTTAATTAAAAAATGTTTGTCTGTCAAATCAACCAAAATACATCAATAGCTATTTCAAAATATCAGATAATTTGACCGTTTTCTGACATGACAAGGATAGTTCAGGATGTAAAATGTAGTCATGTGGTGCTGTTCCTCGAAAACATCATATTTCTGAATTAATTTATTACTGTATGGTATTTCTACAAAAATTTTACATTGCTGAGTATTTCATAAAAGCATGTTTTCAAGGTGTAAGGAATATATTTTAACTTATTACTTTTTATTTGATGGTTACACCACATGACAGTTTTAAGGTCATTCAGTTGAAACTCAGCACAAAAGTTTTTAGTACAAAATTTTCTTTTCTTTTTTTTTAACCAACAAAAGTAAGACATTTCTAAGACATGTTTTATACTATATTCTTATTTGTCATTGACCTGCCTCTCAATGTAATTCTGGGGTGAACTTGAGGTCAAGGTGGGCGGCCTGTGCAGGAGTCACCTGTAGGCTCAATGTGATTTGCAATGAAAGTCCAGTGGATTGTTTGTTACAGGTAAAGACTCTGATCTGACATCATTGGTAGCTTGGTGACAGACAAACGGAGCGTTAGAGGAGCTGTCACTGATTAATTCAGGTTGAGTCATGCTGAGGTTGGTGAGACTGATCCAGTTACAAATGTTTGAGTAATGCTGCCCTACTGTACCGTTGAGTGTCTGTTTTCTTCATCAAAGATTTGACTCTTCTTTGCTGTCTTCCTCACCTCTGCCCTTCCTCTAATCCTCCATTCCTTCATCCGCCCCCTTTTCCCCACTGTCTGTGTGTCTTCATACTTTTTTTACTTGTCTGCTGTCCTTCAGGGAAATTCCCTCTATCAATGACTCTGCCATTCCTCACATTCCTTTCATACCTACAAGGATAAGACGATGAAATGTGATGGAGTGTGTGTGTGTATGAAGATGTTTAATGGAGCGTCTCGAGCAGGAGATAGAGAGGCGCTGAGTGGGTGGTATTAAAGGACTTTTTAGGATGAGGACGTTGTGCTTCATTGACCTTCTTGACCGTGGGAGGCTAACTGGCCATGTAAACAGATGTGTAAATATAGAATGGTCATTACGACATAAAATACATTTCACTGACAAACACAGAGAGGGAAAGTGAATGAGTAAGATGGAGTGGGATTGCTTCACCTTCGGAATGTGAAACTGACCGTTCGTACCGTAAACTCTGACTTCCTGTTACATGAGACTGACCTTTAAGTAATAAGGTTGTTTTTCATGGCCTGCTGAAATAGCTATGTGTATATTCACTTATTCTGTCCAGAGGGCACTTTTAAATAGATAGTTCACCCAAACTATTAAATTCTGTCTTATATTTATGACTCTCATGTCATTCCGAACACCATGAAAGTTTCGTTTGGAAAACAATTGAAAGATATTTTTAATAAAGCCTGAGAGATTTCTTTCCCTCCATTGAAAGTCCATTATGCCAAAACTTTGATGCTTCAAAAAATTAATGAACAGACAGTAAAAGACAGATTTAATTTAGACTTTTATTCACTTGAGTGAATTCACATTTGTTTACATTATAAACGTTAGTCAGCACACAGAGCATATCAAATACGCTCAACCATGCTTACGTGACGCCCGAGAACAAACCTCATGGGGTCTTGCTCATCAAGAAAGCACACATTTCATCCTCCGTTTACCATATTTGATGAGCTCTATGTATGTGCATTGATCAATGTTTATGAATAAAAGCCTAAATTTAAATTTGTCATTAAATAATTGTCACGTTTTTTGTTTCTGCGGAGTCCAAAACAAGTCCATAAAATGTAAGCCTGTGGTCCCAAAACAAAATTGGATCCCACTGACTCTCCTTGTATGGACAAAAAATATATTTTTCAAAATAATTTATTTTGTGTTCCACAGAAGAAAGAAAGCATTGTTGGTTTGGAATGACATGAGGGTGAATAAATGATGGCTTTCTTTTTTCTTTCTTTCATGCATCTCAGGACAAACATTAGACGAATATTTGTGTTATTTTAGTTGAGTTATATTAACTGAACCTCAGGAGTTCTTGCTTCCTGTGATCTACATTTATTCATTTAGCAGAGGCTTTTATCCATATGCAAGATGGTGTGTGAAGTCGTGCGTGTGTGTATACATACACACACACACACACACAGACGGTGCTTAAATTTATTAGACCACTACCACCCAATGTAAGGTCTGTGCCACAGCTGCCCTAAACTAACAGTATTGGTGATTACCAAAATCTTTTTTTTTATGTTTCTGTAATCCACCAAATATGTGTAAACTCCTTAGTCACAATAGTATTTGTAAATTTCCATGAATTTTAAAATGTACTGTTTTACAAAAAAGGCAGAAAAAAATAGAAAAGCACTTTATTATTATTCTTTTTTTATTTAGATACCCAATTAGGGTCAATAAATAGTCTAATAAATTTGTTAGCACTGCATTCACAGCTTGCATTCTTGTGGCATTGTTTTTAGGTCCTTTTCCACAGTCTCTGTTGTTATTGACTGAAACTGGGCATCTGAATAAAAAAAAATTGACTGGATAGTTGTTTTATTTTAAAGCCTCATCTTAAGCAGTAAAATGAGTTTTAGCTAAGTGCATGATTGATTGACAAGTGAGAAAGCGGTCCTTTGATGTTGTCTGTGCTGGATCTACCAGCAGCTCCAGAGTGTAAGTGATGAGTGAGAAAATAACTGAATATGAAAACATTGAGCTAGTGGAGAAACACACATCCATGTTCAGCAAAGAGAACCACTGGCAAATCTGTGGCAGCACAGGCAAAGAGCCAGAACCACCATGAGGGTGGCATCAGACCCCACATGATTACAGCTCGCAAGACAAAACACGAGTTACCAAACAATGAGTTGCTGACAGCCCGGTCTACTAAAGACTACGGTGCCTATGAAGAGACTGGCATAAGAGGTTGCTGTCAAACAGTGTGTAGTAGCTCAATGGCCTTCTGAGGGGCACAATGATAACGGTCCCTCCCTAAAATACTGGTACAACTGCTCACGAAAAACTGAGATGATATTTGGTACAAAGGAAGGATGTTTTTTGATTATTTGCTCTAGTTCGGATTATATTAAGTGATTATAGGCTATACTTCACATAGCAAGTCTTATGGAACTCTCTTAGATGGGAAGACATAAGGAGGATCATTGCTTAACACACAATGGAAATGCCCAAGTTGTTGGAAAGTAGAGATTAGTGGTCTTTGTTTTTTGAGCCGATTCAGCGTGGGACTAAATGGCACATTTTTGTAAGCGGTACGGATGTTGGTTGGCATTAGTCACACAACCGAGAGAATGAGAATGCCCTCCAAAGGTTTCCCTCTTTCATATCACTGGGGTCACAATGAAAACCCAGTCAGTGGGACAATCCGATGACGTTGGAGCATTCCAGGATCTTTTGTCTCCTCTTGTAGATACGTTCTGACCCTCTTTCTCGCCTTCCCACTGTCTCTCTGTCAGCCGACATCAGCCGTCCATCGTATCTCATCCTGCTTTATCTTTACTTTCCCTTTCCTCTGTTTTTGAACAGTGAGATTTCTCCCTTAGAAAACACACAGTCCTTCAGTTAGCCCTCTGTGACGCAGGAGGGTAGCAAAAGGGGGTCCAGTAAGGGGAGGGTGCAGTGCATGTGTAACAGAAGGTCTCCAGTAAAGGGGAGGGTGATGAGTTTGGCCTTTGGCTGCTTATGACGCTTCTCTCTTGTGAGCTATCAGACGAGCCTGACAAAGACATTGAGAATGCCCAATGTCTCCTGGGTGTCTTTTTTTAGCTACAAAGAATGCGCTAAAAATAGCTCCACTCATGCTTGTTGTCTTGTTTTTTTCTATTGTCCCATCAGTCTTTAGTTCTTTTTCAGCTGCCCTTGCTGAAGTTTCTCAGAGAGAGAGAGAGAGAGAGAGAGAGATACCATACTAGTGACCATACCTGTTTACATATTTCACTCCTGGTTCCATCCGCTTGTTTTTGTTATTGTTTTGCAGCCCCCGGTTTATGTTTAGCCCTCTCCTGCAACACCTACTCTTCCGCCGAGATAAAGAGAGATGGAGAGGCGGTGAAAGACAGAGAGATGGAAAAAGAGATGGAAGTCAAACAATAAAATAAAATGTGGCATATACCACAATAAAAAAATGTATATTTTTGGCTTGTTCTGCAGCAACACATCTCTTTAAATAAAGATGTTTTAAAATGTTCTGTAAAAAAAAGGCTTGTTTTTAAAGAATATATCTTTGAATACTAATGATGATCGAAGATTGTTTTTATGTTTTGTGATAGTTGTTCATGAGTCCCTTGTTTGTCTGAAGCATTTCAGCTGCCCTCTGTTCTTCAGAAAAAAATCCTACAGGTCCTTTATTCTTTGGTTTTCCAGCATCTTCTGCATTTTTGACTCCTTTCCAAAAGGTGACTTTGATTTTGAGATCCATGTTTCACACTGAGGACAATTGAGGGACTCACACACAACTATTACAAAACGTACAATATTTACTGATGCTCAGGAAGGCAGTGCAATGCATTAAGAGCCCTAAGGGGTGTAAACTTTTGAACAGGATGATGATGTGTACATTTTTCTTATTTTGTAAATATCATATTTTTTCATTTAGTACTGCCCTTCAGAAGCTACATAAAATACTTACATGTTTCCCAGAAGACAAAATAAGTAAAAGTTACCCTCATCATCCAATTTTCTTACTGGGATTTTTTTCTTCTTTTTTTAAGACTAAATCTTGCCAAATTCTATTACATTCATTCATTCATTCATTCATTCATTCATAAATACATACATAAATACACACAAAAAAAACCCTTCAAGATATATTGTCTGAAAATGAATCTTACTCTCTACAAAGTTTTGCTTATGTAAATTCTTACTTTTTTTTTCCGAGCAAAAAAATATTTTTTGAGACAGACTGGGAAGTGATGGTTTGAGATACAGACAAGACACATACAATGACAGGTGAGGAAAGAATGTTAAAGCCGACTAAGAGCGTGATGGTCAGCATTCCTGTGTTTGTATACGTGTGCTTTAACAGACTGAACTGAAGTCTGCAAAATGTTAACATGCTCATGAGATGAACAGATGAGACGCAAGGAAAGGGGGGTGATAGGGCCCAGAGAGTATGGAAAGACTTGCCCACCCTCTAAAACGTTCCTTTTTGCGTGGGTTATCCTCCATCTTCATTCTGTTCTACTACGTTCTTCCTCTCTCTTGGTCTGTCTTTGACCTATTGCTCATTCAAATATGTCATTATTCTAGTGCAGGTTACAAATATTGTATGTGTTACAGTAAATAAATGGAAATGAATAGAAATAGTTGCTTTTGTTTCCTCTTTTCCTAATTAGTATTTCATTATTTCAAGTATTTCATTTCACCTGACCTGACCACAATGCACACTCATTCTCTCTTATACCATCTTAATGTGTTCCAGCAAGCAGCTTGCATCAGAGTGTGTGTATTTGTGTGTGTCAGGGTAATATCTGAACATTCCTGCCAAGCTCTAAGGACCGGAAGACAGCTACTGCCGCGAGTGATTTACAACTACTTATTACCATTTAGGAGAATTTTCGTAGCCAGATTGAGCCAGTGTTTGTAAATGTGTTAAGGAAATAAAATATAATCTGGGCACTCCAGTACGTCAGATTTTAAGAGATAAATACTAGCCTAAGTGATTTATTTGTAATCCAACTTTGTGTGTGTGTGTGTGCGCGCGTGTAAGACATTTGGCTCAGTTACATGAACTGTCATTTGTGTGTGTGTGTGTGTGTTTTGTGACAAAGTGTGGTGAATTATATGGCTAGGTATCGATACAAGTTTTCTTGATTTGATTTTTATTCATTTGGGTATATTTTTGTTACAATGCCCAAAACAATCTCTCTCTCAAGTATTGCTGTAAATTATAAAGAAAACTTTCCAAGCTCTAAGGACCGGAAGACAGCTACTGCGGCGAGTGATTTACAACTACTTATTACCATTTAGGAGAATTTTCGTAACCAGATTGAGCCAGTGTTTGTAAATGTGTTAAGGAAATAAAATATAATCTGGGCACTCCAGTACGTCAGATTTTAAGAGATAAATACTAGCCTAAGTGATTTATTTGTAATCCAACTTTGTGTGTGTGTGTGTGCGCGCGTGTAAGACATTTGGCTCAGTTACATGAACTGTCATTTGTGTGTGTGTGTGTGTGTGTGTTTTGTGACAAAGTGTGGTGAATTATATGGCTAGGTATCGATACAAGTTTTCTTGATTTGATTTTTATTCATTTGGGTATATTTTTGTTACAATGCCCAAAACAATCTCTCTCTCAAGTATTGCTGTAAATTATAAAGAAAACTTTCTAACATTGCGAGAATATAACTTTTTAAAAATTAAAATATTATATCTGTTAAACAACAATTGAAAAAAAAGATAACAATTGAACTATGCAATTAATTGTTATTTATTTAACAGATATAATTATCAACTCAACCAAAAACGGAAGTGTTGAATCATTCAAATGACCCACTCAAAAGAGTAATTTGATTGAATCAGACTGGTCATGTTGTATGTTTCCCTTGGTCGTGAATCATAATACACTGGTGACGTTGTTTGATTTTGATTTGCTAACAAGAATCAGTTGATTGTGACGTGATGTGCAGCCAAGTATGGTGTACAATACTCAGAATTTGTGCTCTGCATTTAACCCATCCAAGTGCACACACAGCAGTAAGTTGTAAACACACACACTCGGAGTAGGCAGCCATTTTTGCTGCAGTGCCTGGGGAGCAGTTGGGGTCATTCACTCCCCCCACAATCCCTGCCGATACCGAGACTCAAACCTGTGACCTTTGGGTTACAAGTCAGAATCGCTAACCATTAGGCCATGATTTGAATGTGAATCCTATTACACTGGTGAAACTGTATTTTTTTGGTCACTAACAAGAACCACTTCATAAGAGTCATTTGATCGTGAATCAGACTACACTGGCCACGCTGTATGTTTTTTGATTCACTAACAAGAACCAATTCATTGGACTTATTTGATAGTGAATTGTAGTACCCCGGTGATGCTGTTTTTATTTATTTATTGATTGATTCACTAACAAGAATCAATTCATAGGAGTTATTTGATTGTGAATCATATTACTGATTACTGACTGATTGCACAGACACTATTGGAAGAGAGCTGAACTGGATGATGACATCACTGAATCAATGAACTGACTTCAGCTGGAAAAATAACTCTTTGTTATTTTCTTCTTGCATTGTTGACTAACTATTTTCCTGTTTGACACTATGAAGCTGCTTTGACACAATCAGTATTGTATAAAGTGCTATACAAATAAAGGTGATTTGACTTGATTACATGGGTAACACTGTATGTTGTTGATCCACTAGTTTATAAGAGTCATTCAAATGTGAATTGGACTGCACTGGTCATGCTACAGTATGTGCGATTGCATGCAGCCTGCAAGAACAATTCAACAGAAAAAATGTACACCCTTTTTTACCTCATTTAATTCAGACTGTTAAAATATGACTTCTTTTGCAGTGGGTCTGTAGATTTAGCAGCAAGGTGTGCAGCAATTAAAAAGTAGTACAGGAAACACTGGCACAGAAAAGATTGATCTTTGGATTTTAAGAATTGAGATTAAATGAAGATTAATCAGAAAATCTATATTTTTACACAGCTCTAGTGTACTTATTGGTTTGTATACACCACATTTATTGACCAAATAGAGGTGTAATCCAGCAGTGTTTATGTGTGGTTTCCTGTGCACGTGTGTTCTTACAGGCTTGTGTCTGCAGCATTGTGAGACCGATTCTGAGACGTCACTTTATTGCCCAATGATTATCTTCCTGCAGTGTGTCATTCTTTCTCTCTCTCCCCCCTTTTGCTTTTCCCATAGAGCCATTAACACACTCAGTTGCTCTCTGACGTCTGTAGAGGGGCACATGGGTTGGGAAAGATGAAGGGGGCTTGACAGAATGTAGTTGGTTAGGACACACCTCTTTTTTCTCTGCAGTACAAAGAATGGGAGCAGTCAGTTAGGGTCAAAGGACATGAACAACATTCTGTCATAAGAATTATCTTTCTTTTTTTCACTGTATTTATACATCCTCCCACACACACGCACACATTCATCTTCCAGCAGTCACTCTCACTCTTTTTCACTCTTTCTTTCTCAACACCTCTATCATTGTGAAATTCCCTTGAGGGTTTAGTGAGATGGTAAAGAAGTTATTCATTTATACCAGATCATGCTTTTGCAGGTATTTAGTGTTGTACGCTGCTCTGCCAGCTGTTGATGTTGGGGTGTGTGTGTCTCTGTGTGTGTGTGTGTGTGTGTGT